GATGAAAAACAGTAACATAGGCCGATATTACTACCCGATCAGGTGAGGTTCTGAAGCCAGTCAGTAGCTTGCTGTTCTTGATGTATAGTCTTCGGCTTTTGACTTTTAGAGTGCACTGGGGTGGTTTACAGCCACGTGTGATGCACTTTGGATGAGAGTCAGCTCTTGTAAGTCTGAGGCCATGCTTCTTGGAAAACAGTGGAATGCTTTCTGCAGGTTGGGTTTTTGTCTCACTCCAAGAAGTCCAAGTCTCTGGTTGTCTTGTTCACGAGGTAATGGTAGAATGGAGYGGGAGATGGATCAACRGATTGTATGTTGTGTACTTTTTGATGATAAATACAATGTGTGTGTGCTCACAGCCATCTAAACAACCACTCTGTGCAACAGTAACCAATTATTCCTGTTCTGTCTTATCTATTTTTAGGTTACACGTGTGCCGGTGGAGAGCTGTGAGCAGTACACTTCCTGTAGAGACTGTTTGGGATCAGGAGACCCTCACTGTGGTTGGTGTGTGCTACATAATGTGTAAGTGTTTTCATTCTTCAATGCTTTTTCTACGTATGTGGTTATTTTTAGCTGATGTATTGGGTGCAGTGATTTTTTTTTCCGTTTTGTCCCATAAGAGAAATCTATTTGGGGCTGCTTTGCCCACATTCATCAATTTAAAAGCATTTATATGTTCTATCTTCTTGAAGTCAGAGAATAAAACAGTTTCACTCAGTCACTCTTTTTGGATGTTTGTTTAATGCCCCTGAGCAATGATATCATTTGGTTTTGAAATACATTTTTGTTGAATGAATGAGTTTGTTTTTTTGTTTGTTATGTTTTTCTTTTGTAAGATGGGCACTATAATCAGTGGGCATCCTGTGACTTATTYCTCGTACAGGTTGTGTTTCTGGTTAAATTTGATGCATTTCTCTAAAGATTTTTTTGTTGTTTCTTTCTTGGGGTCTCTTCAATAACTTACTGTCATATTTACTTATTAAAAAGACAAACTGACCAATGTTTTCCCCCATTTGTTTGCATACAATTAGCAACAAAATGTTATAGAAGATATACTTTATATAAATCAGTTACCGGTAGTTTATGCAACAGGTTACTTAAAAAGAAAAAAAAAAACTTGTAACTTTCACTGACTTTTCTCACATTTCAAAAATCAAACATTTGTTTAATTTTCAAAGAAAGAATGGAAAGGGACAGTCAAGCTACATTTATCATTACTGATGGTTAAAACAATAATTTACAAGAGATTTGTCAAAGAAACTTAAAAATGAGTGAGCTAGAGCTCACTGTAGACAGTGTAACATCTTACTAAAGACACTGCCTGGCCAAAAAAGTGGCCACCTGGATTTAAGTCAGCAAATACTGTATGTATGAGCCTCCTATTGGATAATTACTGAATGGGCATCTTTCAGACGGCAACACATTATTTAACCCCAACTGGTGCAATGAGTTRCTTCGCATTTCTTAAACAACCTTGTTGAAAGACACATGTTGTGGTCGTGGAAAAKATATCAGTCTGTTTGAGAAGGGTCAAATCATTGGCATCTCAAGCAGAGGAAACATCTWAGGAGATTGTAGAAACTAACATTGGGTTAAGAACTGTCGAACGCGTTATTAAAAACTGGAAGAACAGTGGGGACCCATCGTCTTTGAGGATACACCCATTGATAGTGTCGACTGTACAAGCCTGTGGGGGTGGGGCTATGGTCTGGGGTTGCTGCAGTTGKTCAGGTCTGGGAAGCTTATCGAAACCTTTTTTCACTTTGCATAGACTTTGGCCGACTGTTAGCCTGGAAAACACGCTGTATTTCTTAGCCRTAATTATTGGTAGTTTTTGATAGTTATCCATTGGTACAATAAACGTTTTAGTAAACAAAATTTCATTGACTCAAACTTTGGTTACACATGGACCGCTGTATATATTTATCCACACTGTTGTTAATATTAACAGGGTTTTAATAACACTGATACTGCAGGTTGCTTCTTTCAGACACCACAAGGCTATTAAAAAAGTGCTGAATTGGTTGTCATGTCACCATTCAACGTGACATATTCCAGTTATTGCTGTGTTAAGCTTTTAAAATGCAGGTTGTTCATAAGCACTTTTTTTCTCATTTCCATGCAACTCTGCATKCACCAATGCACTTGCCTGAACCTCTGAGATCCTGTTATCAGTAGAAAATTGGATGTGTACAATTTTATATAAAAAAAAGTTTCTCAAATGCAAAAGGCACGCTAATTGAAAGCAACTTGTAGCTTACCTAATGATGGACTCAAAAAGAAAAAATAAGTAGATCCTCTGGATGGKTYCTTCWTTAGTGAAACGTTTCGTCTCTCCTCCAAGAGACTTCTTCAGTCTGAGTTTCAGGTGAACTCAGCCTTATAAGCACTGCCTCCACATGGTGGACAAACAGGTTAGTCACATGCAAAAGAGGGTCATCGCCTAACAATAGGCTTAATTAGTTCTATTGTTCATAGAGGGTCATCGCCTAACAATAGGCTTAATTAGTTCTATTGTTCATAGAGAGTCATGTGCCCCATCATCTGACCTGTGTCGTGTTATGTGTATGTAGTGAATGCAAGCAGGGGTTCAAAGTCCCCTTGTTTTTGTCCCTCTTTGGGTTGGTTATCAATGGGGCCCTGATTCACACCTTTTGCTCATAGGGGGCTGAGTCATACTTGCAATAACAGCGTTGTAGGAGGAGGACAACTGGACACAAAGGCCTCCATCTCTGTTTAATGGTGGACGGTTTTTCTTCACAAATATGGCGTYCTTTACTCCTCTAATGAAGGACTATTTTGAACGAAACAATTCTAAATGTAGTACTTAAAGGGGTTTAAACAGAAATGTGTCAGTTCTGCTGTATGCTTTGCTTCTTTAGATGTTCGCGAAGGGATCGCTGTGAGCGGGCAGAGGAGCCTCAGCGTTTCACCACCAGAGTGGAGCAGTGTGTTCACCTCTCCGTCCACCCAGAGACCATTTCAGTCACCATGTCAGAAGTGCAGGTGTGTATGGTGTTGTCASATCGTATTATATAATATTTTCGTATTGAATTTGTTGTGTATTTGTGTGATATGAGAACTAGAAAAGGAGACACGGACAGGGAAAGTGATATAAAACGATATTAAATGAAACTCGTGTCAACACAAGCAATCACTTTTAGCTCCAGCTGAAAAGTGTGTTGTGAGCCACATGTCTGAGCAGCGTTTTCTGCTATGGGGCATCAGTAATGAAATATATTGATTTGAATTTTCTGCTGCACCTCATCTCTTTTGCTTTCTGTCCTCCTTCCTAGCTGGTGCTTCAGGCGCAGAACGTGCCCAGTCTGTCTGCGGGAGTCAACTGCTCCTTCGAGGACTTTGTAGAGACGGAGGCGCGCATCTACAGCGGGCGGATCTTCTGCCTGTCTCCCACCACGAAAGATGTAGCACCCATCACACGTGACCAAGGTAAGCCCCGTTTACTGTAGTTTAGATCTTTGATAAAGATGTTTATATTTCTCAATTGGCTTTTTCACATTTTTGATTTTTGTTAGCTGTTTTTCTTATGTCAGTGGCGTTAGACGCAATGACGTAAAACAAACAGGACACGAGTGACAAAAGTTGCTCGTTGCATCTGCATTTTAGAAGATGGAAAACATTTTAGGTGTGTGATTAAAAATGAAATAACCATAGCCACCAATAAGGTTGTAAACTGATTCAAAATTACATTTTAAGATTTATCTTTTATCACCTTAATTTTTCTTAACATCACATTGGGTTGTGTACTTTATACATGTTCATTTGGTAATCCATTTCTAACTGAAAGTACTCAATGCAAAGTCCAACAGTAGTTTATAGACATACAGCTCTGGAAAAAAATTAAGAGAGCACTGAAGAGTTTCCCTGTATTTGGTGAAAAGTATTCCACCAAATATTGATTTCTGAGCTCGTCCTGAGTTAAAACATTAGTATTGTTGTTTCTAGATGAATATGAACTTGTTTTCTGTGCATTATTTGAGGTCTGAAAGCATCTTTGTTGTCATTTTGACCATTTCTCATGTTCTGCAAATAAATWCTCAATTTTTGCTTGGAATTTCAGAGACACGTTGTTCGTAGTTTATAGAATAAAATAGCAATGTTCATTTTACTCAAACATATACCTATAAAGTAAAATCATAGAAACTGATCATTTTAAAGTGGTCTCCATTTTTTTCCAGAGCTATATATTTCACATAAAATTACTGATAATAAAAAATACCTAATGAGATATGATGTGAGAGCCTTTCAGTGCACTCAAAAATAGATAAAATGGTTTTAATTTAAAAAAATGCATCTCAACTGGTTCCACGCAACTGAGTTGAGTAAAGATAACTCATTTACTTTACACTGACTTTAAGTAAATGTAAAGTTAACAAAGTAAATGTGTTACCTTTACTCAAGTCAGTTGAGTGGATCCAATTTACATGTTTTTAAATTAAATTCATTTTACCTGCTTTTTGGAAGCAACTACAGTTTTTCTACTGGACTTTGCTAATCTTGCACAAATGAAAATTGATCTTTGTTTCTGTATTTGTGTCAGTTATGTTTGATTTAGCTCCCGTCAAGTAAAGGAAGTTCACACAGTGTGGATATGAGTCATAAACTCCAAGTTATTTCCAGTGGAATAACTTTAGTCTGTGTCCAATTCCATTATAAATACCACTGTAAAAAAGAAAAGTAAAATCCCTCCTAAGAGATTTTTGTGTGTGTGTGTGTGTGTGTCTTTGTAGGTGATCAGCGTGTCATAAGGTTGTATCTGAAGTCGAAAGAGACCGGGAAGAAGTTTGCCAGCGTTTTGTTCATTTTTTACAACTGCAGCGTCCACCAATCGTAAGTTCTGTTTTGATCTATGAAGAGACAAGTGAGTAAAACTCAAAACGTATTGCATTTTAAACTCTTCTCACGCTTCTCAACTGTTTGACAGGCACAGTAATGTGTAGCGAGATGCTGTGGAAAGCAGTAAACCAGAAATGTTTAGATGTTCTTCTTTTACCAAAAGCAATAGTTCAAAAAATATCGGCCCGAATGTAACTCCTGAATGGAGAATGATGAAAACAGCGTGCAACMTTTTCTGATTTAGTATTCAGCATATTCAAGCTGTTAACAAATCAATTAGTTAATTAAATCTCAGGCAATGAAGTGACCACTGGTGAGYGAAATAATAAATTGATCCTTATCCTTGCAAGATCTGGAAGAGCAACCAAGCTTAGGATGCTAAAACACATCAGTCATGATTTTTTTGGAAGTGATTTATCCATAATTTAAACAAAAAGTATAGATTTACTTCTTTGTCCTAGTTTGAACAATTTACCTGTTTTTGTTGCACATGTCATTTATTTAAGGACTAAGATAAAAATGCTGGCCGGGCACTAATAAACACTTGTCAAATAGGTAATATTTGTCCTGCAGTAGTTTGTTCTGGAAACCTTTTGTTTTATTTGTTGGTAATGCTGTTTAAAAGCATGATATTTGAATGTGATTGATCATTATTACTTGTATTGTGTCATACAGGTGTGATGGAGTGTGTTTAATCCAATAAARGAGTCAGAATGGTTTATATTTACACTTCTTATCCAACCACAATCAAATTCACTCTATCCATGGGCTCTATGTATCTGGATAAATTTCTATTTATATATTTTTTTCTGAACAATTAAAAGATGGAATAAAAAGAAGTCAAAGTTCAATAGAAATGAAATACTTTTTGAATTTTGAAAAAGTAAGGAGTAGAAGTAAAAAGGCTGAAAAAATTACTCCACTAAAGTATAAATATCCAAAATTTCTACTTAAGTAACAACGTATTTGCACATAGTTATTTGACACCTCTGGAATTAAATAAGAACATTTTGAATTGAACTAACAGGTATTAGAGATTATGTAAAATACTGCTGTTTTAAAGGTAAAGTATAATATTTGGACCAGTATGACTGGTTGATGTGAGGTAAATTCTGCAGGTAATGTTTTGGGTTTTGTTTGGGAACCTTGCTAATATTAGTTGAAGCAGCAAAAGAGCAATTACTAGAGTTCATCTCATCAGAGTGTGTGCACTAATACATTCTGACAACAAGCAGTTGAAAAACTACTGTCATCTCCTTTTCAGCATTTGTAATCTCCCAAATGACAGACTGAAATAACCGTGACAAGGTCTTACCCGTGACGGCTCTCGTGTTAATTTATTCATGGCTCGCCTTCCTTTTGTTGCCTTTGAGATTTAGCTGATGCTCTTTTAAGAAGGCCATCTAGTAGCACTTTTTTTTTCATTTCTAAATGTAAAGTTTGTTCTTTTTTTCTTTCTATAAGCCAACCCCTATTTTATATGACCACATAAAATCATTTCTCACTCTTCATTTTTTTATTTTCTCATCCAAACTTGCACAAAGAGAGAAGGGGGCAGCCTCATCAAAGCAACCGAGCAGAAGTGGAATAAAGCAAATAACGAATGAAGAATGCGATCCTGATTGTCTTGTTAAATAAAGGTTAAATGAAAATAAATAAAATGTCACTCATTTAATTACTTTTGGCTCCCTCGGTRAAGCCACTGAGTGTGATTCACTGCGCTGAGGTTCGCTCGCTCCTGCTCTTCCAMCTGGCACAGACTCACAACTCACATTAAGGTACCCAGAGTTTGTGTGCAGACACTTAACAATGCATCTTCAGGACACTTAACGTGGATTCCTGCTACACTCACCAAGCATCAGTTGGTAAATGCAAGGTTAGTTTTTTTTAACTTGTCAGAATAAACTATATATTTACAAGCAACTAGTAAAAGTGTAAAGTTAATTTTCCAGACACATTTTATACTTTATAAATCTACTTTAAAAGGCCTGGTCTTCCGTGTTATTTCCATTGTTTTTGTTTATTTTCTACCTCTCTCATTTTCAGTGTTTTTTAAATTACCACAAAGTGATACTTGAGTAAAAATACAAGTGTCTTACCAAAAAATTACTTTGGTAAAAGTTAAAGTCTCCTTTAGGAATGTTACTTGAGTAAAAGTCTTAAAGTATCTAATATTTTGTGTACTTAAGTATTAAAAGAAAAAGTATTGATTTAAAATGAGTAGTTAGATTTCCTATAAGGACATTTATTAGGAGGTGACCTCCCCAAAAAAATGCAGAAATGACTGTCTTATTAAGCTAATTATTTTAAGTTAAATTTAAGATGCTCTAGTCTGTTTCAGTTTATATACATATATCAAGGCTTCACAAACCTTTTCCCCAAAATGAAAATCTGTCCAAGGGCTGCAGCCAAATGTAATAATATAATTCATGAAATACAAATACTTCTTAAGTTCAGTCCTTTCATTTGAATGATTCTGTCCTGCTGCAGTGTGACATGATTTGTTTGTGTACAAAGTAATACGGTATCAGAATTTTATATATTTATACTTCTCATTCAACCACAATTAAATTCACTCTATCTAGGAGGCTCAGTTTATATG